ATTCTTTAATTATGAGTATAATTCAGTGGATTACACCAAAATGTGCAAACAATTGTCAGGATTTTTAAAAAGAATTTTAAGAACAGTTTATATAATATACAACATAAAATGTCCAACTTTTAAACTATTTCATTAAAAATAATTGCGTAATTTGTTAAGACTGTTATACATGATGGTTAAGGATTACAAATATATGCAAATAATGTAATGCAGACTTAGAGTTGTCTCATTGGCACTCATACCACATCTTCTTATATCTATTAGTACACGATCTGTTGCCAACATGAACGTTTTGTCTATAGATGATCTACATTTAAATGCTAGAGTTAGTCTAGAATAGAGAACTGATCAGAAAGAAAACGCAATTCGAAGACATTAAAAATAAACACAAATAAAAAAAAAAATATGCCAAATACCTAATCGACATCTTGCCAAATCACAATGCAGTGCACGAAAAACAATATGCAGAAGATAAAAATAATAATAATCTGAAAATAGCAAAAGGTATCTATTTCCGCGGAAAGGTGGAAAGACCGAATTGAACAACCCTATAATTAAGTTATTAAAAATTCGATGAGGTCTCTTACTGGTTTCTTATAAAATAGGTTAAGAAAGAGCGCAGAAAGAATAGAAAAGACTAATTATATATAAAAGTACCTGTTCTTCTCTGAAATCAGGTTGTATTATCTAAAATAGTATGTAAATAAAATAAAACAGTTCAAACAATTGATTAGAGTCACTGATAACATTGAAATTAGATGTGTGAAATACATCTGGAAACGCATGTGTTTTATATTGTTTAGAACGTAAAAATAACTCTTAACAAAACGCATAGTCCTTATTTTGCGTAAAAACCAGATCTTATTGTGATTGCTGCATAATAATATATGAGCTGCGTCGGATAGAAATCGACCTTATGTAAGTGCACGTATACATGTACATGTATAGACATTAATTGACTTTGGAACATTCAAATACGAAATAAAAGATGACTGTTGGTTTGTTTTGTAGGGTTCTTTCTTATATTAACTAATTTTTCAAACAGTTACAGACAGTTAGAGATTTTTTCAACCCGAAATAAGTTAACCGTTACAAATGTATTGATATTTATTTGCATAAGGTTGATTTCTATCCAACATACTCATATATAATAAGTAAGTACAATTTCAAAATGCGATGTTATATATCGATGAATCCATTTTATTGTGTAAGTCGTGGTTTGCATAGAAATATATAACGGAAGAAGTAGAGTGATTGATTGATTATAACTTGCTTAACGTCCAGTGGCAAATATTTGAGGCATAACAAAGAAGAGGGCAATTTGATAATGAATTCAAAAGGACCGTTCTGCAAGGTACACATGTATGTCGACCAGGATGTAGAACAGGGACTATGCACTTTACCACTGACCAATAAGGGAATAATGGATAGGGGCGGAAATTCATCTTGCCACAGACAAACTACAGACCCCCAGAGAGTTTATGCAAGGGTTATTTACGTGTAGAGAGCGCGGTACTCACCCTAGAATGTCACACACGGGGCATTATTTTAATTTAACGGCCCCGGTCCGATCGGACGTGACTGCGTATTTATACATCCCGCACGTTTTAATATAGAATCGTACTTTGCAAAAGGTTTACATCTATACCTGGGAAGTCCAGGGATGACCAAATTGTTTTATCCGAATCAACTCTTTTGGTGGGGAAAAGAGGACTACATGGCAATTAAACACCAACCCAACAACTGAAGCCATGAAAAGGGCACTATTTTATTCAAATAAGGATATCATATATAGTAGTGAACTATTGCTCTGACGTCCGACGGACCCACTTTCAGGGACTTGTTGGGCAATGGGATAAAATGCAAGTCATGCAAAAAACATTGAAATAACAGACAAAGACTTTGAGCTGCAAGTTTCTTTTTTTTAAATTAAGCAACAGTAGTTTACCGATTTTCAAATCTCATAAATCGATTAAAAATATACAAATCAAAGCAATGAACAAGGAAATTGCATGAACTTAAAAAAAAAATGTCTTTTGCTATGCATGCAGCACCTGTCATGCGAATCCACACTCTTTAAAAATGTAATAACAAAACTACCAAACGTAATTCAAAAAGTGGGAAGTCAATAACACTTACAAAACCAAACACTCGACTAATCAACAAACGGAATGACTGGATTCATGTTGCCCAAGTAAGTAATAATCCGATTAATAAATCGCTTTGTGATAGATCAATTTTCAAGCATATAGAGCATGCATCAGTCGTAAACTTTCCTTTTTATGGTTTCTTCACATCTGTTTAACTTATTAACTGACTACCCCTGTAATACAAATGGAAGCCTTGTTCTTCTAATCTCTCCATTTTCAAATAAAAGTCATTCGTGGTCTCATAACATTTATATGGCACATTGGATCACGATGTTTCCACCGAAGTCTCTGTATGCAAGTGTATAAAAGTTATATTTACCTCGTGTTGCATTGCAAGAGATAAACCTTACGTTTTATGAGGGTAGGAATGGGGTACCCCACTAGACGAATGACAGTAAAATATTTGATGAAATAACGTTAACGATAAACATTTACTCCATATAACGCCAACGGTAGCTACAAATTGAGTTTTGATGAATGACGATAAAAAATTGAGGCTCATTTGACGCTATCGGTAACCAAAAACGGGCGTTTGACGCTTGACAATAAAGGGCATTCCTATCCTCTTTTATTATACAACTTTCCAATCATATAAGTGCGAGGCTGGAATTATTTACTAGTAATACAGAGTATAGGATTTCACCCGATTTGAAAAGCAAGCAGTTGACATCAAGAAGCCCGGAAGTCGCTTTTATTATAAGGTTATAATGTCTATAATCAATAAACTGATTAAGATAATGTTAAAGGAATAAGGTGAAAGGTTTTTGTCAAGTGCAAATACTTTGTTCATATGTTTGTCATAGTTCAATTCAATCTGCACTTCTTTCTTTGCCTCTTGATTTCCGATGAATTAAGAAATAAAGCATTTTCACTGTAAGTAGTCCCAAAGGTATGAGAATAGATATAACGTAGTAATTTTCCTCTATGAAAAAAATGTGCAAGTTATACGCTGACCACACTAAGAACTATAACTGTGTCCTCGGACCAGTTTGCATGGAAGAGGGTTAAAGCAATAAGTCTATGCATGGTGATTCTGTTTCATTTTCCTTAATATTGTACTTATCTATATGATATTCTTTCTCTCAGCTCTATTTGCTTTTGCTTTTATGGAATTCTAACATACTTTTTGTCTCGTATTAAATGGTGGACTCGATTAGTTTTGGGGAATATATATTTATAATAGAAAAAGAAAGGATATATTTATGTATATTTGATTATTTTTGTTTATTTAAAAAAGGAGGACACTTATGCTTAGAGAATGGTAACTAAATTTTCTAAAAAATAAATATTGTATACTCCGTGTATCCTGTCTGAAAACGAAATGACTTTTCTTTTTCTATTAAGGAACACACCATTCATCTTTTTGGGTGGTCATGGTTTTTTTTTCTACGGACAAAAAAGTGTTTGTGAACTTCAATAAAATCAAGGTTGTTCACATGAATTATTTTTTTTATTTATTTTTTACTATTTTCCAACAAAAACAAAAAAAAATCTTTTAGCTTCTATTTTAAAACGAATTACTTTTGTCCAAGAAATTTAAAATCAAACATTTAAATTGAAAAAAAAAAACATGCCCCCTTCCCACGAAAGATGAATGGTCGGTGCCTAAATCTCTCCTTTCCCTTGATGGTGGTCATCTGTTGGGTTTTTTCGTAGTTAAATTGTATATGTTTCTAAGCTGGTATGTTATGAGCATGTTTGCAGTGGAGATGTAATTTTTCTTATTATCAAAAATAACTATTTTAATGAAGTATTTCGATATAATAAAATCGTTACGTTTTTTATACGTGTTTCTCAACGATTCAAAATCATGAAACTTGTCAGTGATTTTCACTGCGTCTTAATGGTTTTATATACAGATCTAGATATGTGGGTGTCGGTTTCAGATATGTGATTGTTTTTGCTGTCCCTAGTGAAGAAAGGAATTGCTTACCCTTCCGGGGTATCTGATTTCTGCCCTGTTTGTTTGTGCGGTTCATGTTGCCCAGTATTTATTTTTTATGTAAGATGGATGGATCGATGTCCCAAGTTAAAAGCATGTAATTCGATGGTTTTCGTTTGTTGCTGTATATTATTTTCTTTTCGTTTATGGTTTATGATATAATCAGTATAATTAGTTTTCCTATATTAAGTGTGTTACATTTTTCATCTCGGAGCCTTTTAAAAGCTTGCTATACGATGTTGGTTTTGCTAATTGCTGAAGATCTCACAGTGACCTATAATTGCTAACATTTATGTCATGTTTGTTCTCTGGCGGAGAGGTCTCAGTGGCAATTGTACCACATATGCTCATTCAATATTATTTATTAATTTATTATTTTTCTTTTGGTATTGGTATTGTCTGTATTATTCGATTCGTGGTTTTAGATTGCCCTGTTGGTATTTTCATCCTTTTTCTGATTTTGTTAACATTATGTATAGACTAGGGGCTACCTAAGGCGTGTCATACCGTGTTGGTTTTGGTAAATTGTTGTAATTCGAATGATGATTTCTAAATGTCTTTTTATGATTTTCTTTACGTTGTTGTATTGTTGCCTCGTTGAAACTTACCAGCAGTAGCATTTTACCTATATATGAATTTTATTCATTGCTTGTTATTCATAACGAAAGTAATAATTTTGATTTAAGACGATCTCTATCATTATATTTTTATGAAGCGTAGAGATAGCATCGACGGTTTATCTACAGGGTAATATAGCTATAGAATAATTGATCGACAATATTTGATAAATAACTTCTAATCAGGGTATAATCAAAACATTTAACCGAATAATAAATTGTTTATCAATATCTCAAGGAATATTTTCACCATTATGTAATACAAAAAGTTAAAACATACACATAACTGATTGTTTACATTATTAAAGTTAGTACTTGGATATTGACGAAAGGTTTAAATTCAATTAATGCACCTTTTGAATGAACGCATTATCCACCTGTTATCACGGGTAATATAGCCTGAAGGTGTATCATTGAGAAGGCAGTCAGTAACAAACTATGTATAGACAACACCACCTGAAATACTTGGGAAGTATCAAAGTGGCTTTCCTTCGGATCAAATATACCTTGTGAAATGTACATACTAATATAACATACAAGTGTTACAGTGATTTTGAATTTATTTCATTTTATTATTACTGATATTAATATAATTATTAATGCATCGGAATTTAATAATTTCATTTTCAATGTTTCAAGGATGAATTTATCAATATGGACGTTGTCATGGATATTTATATTATTTTATTGTGTCCGTGCTGAATTGTCTATAGCTGAAATTCAAGCCACAGGAAGGGTAAGTAATTTGATAAAATGTTGTCTCCCTGCACATGATTGACAGGCAAATACAAATTGCATACTAATATGTTGGTGAAGAAAAATAATTTATTCGTAAAATATGCAATTTAAACATCCCATTCAATAACACATAGTGCACATCAATGAAAGTGAGAAACGAGGTAATGTTTAAAGATTTAAATTTTAAAAAATAAGGAATTCAAGTGCGAGTAATATAAGTTTGTGTAATAGTATACAGTCGTAGTAAATGTTTTATGGATTCTGTATTTTAGTCACTGGCGATTTAGAAAAAGAGCTACATCTATAAACTAGAAAGAAAATTTATTTTGTTTGAAGTTCTTTTAGCATACCAATATAGCAAATCGTGTTACAATCTTTTTAATCTATTTATTGATTGTCTTCCATCTATCCTGGTCGACTTGCTGTTGTATACGTTTTGTACACCCTCCCCCCTTTGAATTGTACCTCTACAATATGTGTTTTCTGTTGAGTAAAATAATATTGTTTTGAGAAGAGTGAAAGTTACCAGTTGCGAAAATGAAAGGTCCCAATGAAGTTATTTATTACCTACACGTAACTTATGACTAAATATAATGTCTGGTCTATTCGTAATGCTGTTGCTTCTATAAATATTTTCATAATGGGAACATGAGTTTTTGCTTAAAGATTTAAATTTTATAAAATAAGAAATTTTACCGGGTAAAAGCTATGCCTTCTCGTTCTTATCTTTTATTTCCGTATCTTTTCTCATATCAAGATAGAGCACCACTTTAGACCTCATTTATATACACAGAACCCCACATGAAAAGTTTGAGATTGAGCATCTGGTGCATACAATAACATAAAACAAAAAACACGCAAAACAGAGAAGAAACATGTTTTTGTTTCTTTTGGGATTTAAATATAGTTTGTGATTTCCGGTATAAAATCATTTTATTTCATGATAAACTGTAATGATTTATATAACGTTCAAATGGATCACATCTTGTATCTAAAATACCTATTTATATAGCTACTGATCATGACACCTGTCAGAGGTGTTCCTATCTGTCAGGAGTTATCATAATCACATAATAAGTTGATTGTTTTATCAGTATCTGTATACACATGTAAAGTTTAAAATTCCAGAAGTTAAGGAGAAAGAAAATGTGCTATTTAATGCTAGTTAGTGCAAATTTCTGTCGTTATTATTGCGTTATATGCTTCATTTTTCTTCGTTTCAACACCCTGATGATGATTGCAGTAATTATATAACATGCTTATCTATGATTAACACCTCCCAGGTTAATCGTTTAACAAATACCAAACATTCTACAGTTAACGCAGTACAAATATATACCACCTTGAGCTTCAAAGTCAACACTTTATTAACATTGTTCCTCAACAAGTTAACACATTACTAATAACGATTCCCTCACAAGTTATGTACTGGATGTATAAGTACGCAGCCACGTCCGGTCAGAATGGAGGCATGGAGTAGAGAGAGTGCCACGCTTCCTGCACGTTAGAAACCCATGTAACAACTCTTTGAGAGGTCTGTAGGGGGCCTGTTGGCAAAATTTCTGACCTTCCAAAATACCGTCATTTGCCAGTGGCAGTTCAATTGTACACCTTTATACGGTACGGACTCTACCACAGGACCTAACTATTGTATTAAATGTTAAGTTGTTCTCGTCCTCAACATGCATGAAATATTTGCCATGCAATGGTAGTTAAGCAACAAACAATTTAATTGGTAAATCCCTCACAAGTCAACACATTACAAGTTCTCAAATCACTCACATGGATTTCTTCACAAGTTAACACGGGTGCCACATTTCGAGCAGAATCTGTTTACACATGAGATCACCCACGGTTTTTGGTGGGGTTCGTGTTGCTCAGTCTTACTTTTCTATGTTGTGTTTTAAACTTTTGTTTGTCTTTTGGTCTTTTTCCTCTTTTTTTTCCATAGCGTTGTCAGTTTATTTTCGACTTATGAGTTTGAATGTTCCTTTGGTATATTTCGCCTTTCGCTTCAAAACAATTTTAGATTATCGATTCTGGTAGTCATAATAATTAGGAAAAAACAACGGTTTAGGAATACATGTAGCTGTTTCAAGAAGCTGTCCATATGACTGTCACTGTTTCTTATCTGTATTGTTGTGGCAAGCTCTTATCTTGCTGTTGATTTGCAACATAGCATAATTTACGGTAGCAGCTCGTGTTTACACAGATGAATGCCATTTCCTAACATATTTGGTTTTTTTTTCGGTTTGTATATCGAGTTTGCGCTATAAGTCTTACATAGATCGCCGAATTGTTTGCAATAACGCTTTAATATAAAAAAAAAAACTATAACTATATTATGAATTTCGGTGAAAGAATCTGTATGTTTTTTAAATTAAAAAGCTCCTATATATCGTAATATTGAAACAAAACCAGTAGGTGTAGAAATTTTAAGATAATTAAAAAATTTTCACTATATGTTTTAGCCAAATTTTATTTTTCATTAATGACATTGGCATTTGGCTGTCTGAAATGTTCAGTGATCCTTAAAACTTCTGTCACGAGGAATATAACCATCCTATAAGCAAATATCATATTTGTTGACCATTCTTCATTATTTATATAGAATCAAAGAGCGTGAAATTCAAGTGTGATTTCAGTTTGAAGGAAACTGAGAGAACAACGGTTTGTCAGTCTATTTCTACCCATGCACAAAGACGTGACGGCGATTTACGGCCGTTCAAAAAATGGTCAACCAGCTGTATGCTGCATAAAAATATATATTTACCACTAAATAACGTTTTTGATATTATTATTATTATTATTATTATTATTATTATTATTATTATTATTATTATTATTATTATTATTCTGTTTTATTATTTTTGCTTAACAATGCATCATAGAGTTGTCTGTCAAACTTTTTACATTGGAATAGCAGTAAGTGTAATATTGTTATACTTTTCAAGAATACTCGCTGGGAATATAATTTCGTAATATATATACCATATAATTGTATTAGTTTTCTTAAATCGATTTTGTTAAAGACATATTTTTGCAGGTTCTGTGTCCTTATGTATTTATTTCTTGTAAAATAGGATTCTTTTGTGTCTTAATTAAGATTTATCGCAGGTGCAGAGACAATTTCGAGAGTAAGAATCTATCATAGCCAATAGGTTAATATGTATATATATACCAGAATACAATCGCTTCAAATATATTACTACTTAAATAGTAAAAAACATATAATATATCGTTTAAAAGAGATCGTTTGACACCTGTTATTTGCGGTTTAAATCCCATTTAATGATAAAATGGGCGTGGCTTTTGGTTATTGAGACATCTGTGATGGTTTATTGGGGGACACATGATAGCTGTAATGTATGTGCCAGGTGTCTTCATGTGCCATATATACAATAAGAGTTACTAGAGCTTTGCGTGTTGAATGTTCTATCTTCTCAGTTACTGATGTGACACGATTCTCAGTGACACAGGACCACCACTCAGTAAAAGCAGTTTAATTCAAAGTTACCTTCATCCTAAATATTCTTGCATCATTTAAGGCATTATTGGTACCAGCCAAACTGGATTATTCTTTCAATTTTGGTGCATTGCAATGTTCAAAGAAAAATATGACCACAGTTTTATTTCTGAATTTCTGTAACAATTGTTAATATATAAGTCATTATGTTATATGTTGTTAAAATATTGAGACATTAGTTACTGTATAGCTGTCTGCATTTGTGACTTTAATATTCTAAATTGCTGTTTCCTGGTGATATGAATACCTATTTCTGTACAGTGTTAGCGGTGTTGGGTTAATTCTTTTGATGCTTATAATTTATTTTTAAAAAAATATTTACATACATACCTAATTCTATCTGTTTATCTAAGGTTATGGTCTTTGTTTCTGTCGTTTACATTGTCCTATCGGTAATTTGGCGAAAACCACATTTACGACAGTTGCTTCAAATTACAATGAGTTTAAAAATACCATGGGCAGCGATTATCTGAATTAAGATCAGCAGTCGTAATTCATTTTTTCCACTTAATTATTTTTGAACAACTAACCCGAATAATTCAGTCCCTCCCCGTAATCGATCTCTCCTACTTCAGAGTTAATGAAGTAATCGTAGATCAGCGGAATATAACGACTGAATTATTCGGGTTAAGCATCAACAAACGAATAGATATCATTTCCGTAGTTGTTTGTCTGTGACATATATACAGCCATTGTTGGAACACATGTTAATCAATTACAGTAAATAAAAATAAAAGAATGTGTCTGAGGAACGTATGGCCCAGCTCAAACTTGCTTATAATATGTGAAAATACTTTGGGACGGACGGATGGAAGGACGGTCAATGATAACACTTAATGCCCCCTTCGCCTAGCGGCGGGGGCATAAACAAACTGGTTCAAACTTACCCTTTGAACAAGTAGCCAATATGTTGATACTCTGTCGGATGATGAACTTTCGATGGTAATTATGATCGCGGTCTATATATAAGGAATTGTTTTTGTAGGATTTTCAGCTTTGTTTCTATACCTTATGAAAAATATGAAATAAAGATAAAACCACTATTTATTGGATTAAGTCGTCAAATATCAATACAATACATTAACATGAAATAAAGAGCTAAGATTCAGAAACAAGCAAAGTCTTAGATAAATGTGATTTTTTTTTATTAGTTGTTATTGGCTTTGAACTAGCTGTCAGTAACTTCGAATACTCTCAGATCTGTACTTAGTGTCCTTTTTGTTGTTAGGGATGAGGGGTGGTTAAATACCCTGCCACGTCCGGTCTGTGTTTGTGTTTATGTTTGATGTTTTTCTGCTTTGTATCGATCTGATGAGTTGAGCCTTTTTCAACTGATTTTTTTATAGTTTGTTCTTATGTTGTGCTGTTACACTACTGTCCCAGGTTAGGGGAGGGTTGAGCGCTCACAAACATGTTTAACCCTGCCACACTTTTTATGTGACTGTCCCAAGTCTGGAGCCTGTAGTTTAGTG